TAACACTATACTCTGAAATCAACCTTTTGAAACACAAGCGATTTCAAGCCTAGGATGGCCAAATTAGCAATACCCTGTGTGGTGGTTTGAATGAGAACGGCCCCATAGGCTCATACACTTAAATATTTGGTTCCCAGTTGAACCGCTGTTTAGGAAGGAGTAAGAGGTGTGACCTTTTGGAGAAACTTGTGTCATTGGGGGTGGGCTTTGAGGTTCTAACGCTCAGTGAGGACTGGTCTAGTTTATTTTCTGCCTACAACTTGTGTTTCAGATGTGAGCCACCAGCTACTTCTCCAGCATCATGCCTACCTGCAGCCACAGCTTCTGCCTCAAAGACTGTGGACTAACCCTCTCAAAGGGTATGCAAAGCCCCCAATCAAATGTTTCCATTTGTAAGTTGCCTTGGTCATGGTTTCTCTCCACATCAGTAGAAAGATAACTAAGCTACCTTGTTTCAAACAAATAAAAACATGAAATTACAAAGGACTACGAATATACAGGGCACACACACCTGACTGGCACTTGCCTGGCACATGTCACATACCTGGTCTCAGTCCAGTACTGCAAAAATAATATGGTGATGTTCGTATTTTTGAGGAAACTAGTTCTGTAGCTTATATTCTAGTGGGAAAGGACTCTAAACCGGTATCCTAAACTACCAGATTGAAAAGCTGTGGCAAGCGAAGCAGCGGAGGGTGTGGAGGTCATCTGTGGGAAGGCAGCCCCTTTCAAAGGCATTAGCTCTACAAAGGTAAAAAGGGAACCTTCCCAGACATCTTCAACACAAAGTCTAATAAAAATAAAAACAACCACTACCACCACTACCATTTGTGTGTCTGACCGTCCATCAGCTGGGATCTGGGGGTGGGACTCAGCCATGACCGGCAGCACCTTTACCTGCTGACTGTCTCCCTAGTCCCATAAATATCTTGCATTACTCCCTACTAAGTTTTTGTTCTTGAGTACTGTTTTCAAAAGCTCCTTCATTGATGGCTCTGTGAGTTTAAGGTACATGCCTTTAATTTAAGCAAACATTTCTTAGTAATGTTAGCTAATATTAACAATCTCAGTACTGCCCAGTAACAGCAATGGTTAAAAATACCTCTACATGAAATAAAATTGTCTCGCTTGATAGGTCCTAATGAGTTTTCTAGAAAGATTTTAATAGACACTTCATAGGGAAATCAAGCTGAGGAGAAACTGCCACAATGTGACCTACCCAGAAGAGGAGGCCACTGCCGAATGAGTCATGGACTGGTGGATGGGGAAGTGAAAGGGCTCTGCAGAAACAGACAGGTTGTGCACGCTTAACAAGCAGCGGACCAGCAAGGCTGAGAAAGCCTCCCTAAGCACCCTGGCTCTTTGAGACATGCTGCCACCACCTGGGCAGTAGGCAGTTTTGAAGTCAGGGATTTTAGTTATTACTAGTTAACAATGATAGACTCAAAAAGTTAACTTCACTTTGTGAGAAAAGCATTTTTGCAAAGTCTCTGAGCATTAGAAATGAGCATGGATTTTGGTGAGGTATGTTTAGAATCCTGCTCTAGTTTTTAAAGTCTTCTGTTCCTTTGATGGGTGATTTAGTCTCAGGATTAGTGACAATATTTGAGAAGCACTGACCTCAGTACTTGGTATACAGAAAGTACTCAATTGATTTTTCAATTATTCTTCAGTACGCTCTTCAAAATATTTATAATAAGTCCAATTAATTCTTAAAGTTAGAAATATTCCTACTAAGAAATGCACTTGCATTGTGTTTTGATGAAAAGCAACATGTTATGAAATAAAACCTCCGGGATAAAAACTAATTCCATCAAAGGAAGTTAAATATGTAAAGACTTACTATAGGGAAATAAGTAGAAGTGGAGTTAAGAGACCTTTCAGCATCTTTTAATTTTTTTTTAATTAATCACACTTTATTCACTTTGTATCCCAGCTGTAGCTCCCTCCCTCATCCCTTCCCAATCCCACCCTCTCTCCCTCATATCCTCTTATGGCCCTTTCCAAGTCCAGGGACAGGGAAGGTCCTCCTCCCCTTTCATCTGACCCTAGTTTATCAGGACTGGCTGCATTGTCCTCTGTGGCCTGGCAAGGCTGCTCCTCCATTAGGGGGAGGCAGTCAAAGAGACAGCTACTGAGTTCATGTCAGAAAAAGTCCCTCTTCCCCTTACTTGGGAACCCTCTTGGAGACTGAGCTGCCATGGGCTACATCTGAGCAAGGGTTCTAGGTTAGCTCCATGCGTGCTCCGTGGTTGGAGTATCAGTCTCAGAAAAGACCCCTGGGCCCAGAATTTTTTGTTCTGTTGCTCTCCTTGTGGAGCTCCTTTTCCTCTCCAGGTCTTACTATCTCCCCCTTCTTTCCTAAGATTCCCTGCACTCTGCCCAAAGTTTGTTTATGAGTCTCAGTATCTGCTTTGATACACTGCTGGGTAGAGTCTTTCAGAGGTCCTCAGTGGTAGGCTCCTGTCCTGTTTCCTGTTTTCCTTAAATGTCTGTCCCATTTGCCTTTCTAAGTGAGGATTGATCATCTTACCCAGGGTCCTCCTTCTTGCTTTGCTTCCTTAGGTGTACAGATTTTAATATGATTATCCCATATTATATGTCTTATATACACTTATAAGTGAGTATATACCATGAGTGTCTTTCTGCTTCTGGGATACTTCTCCTTCACTCAGAATGATCTTTTTTAGTTCCCACCATTTGCCTGAAAATTTCATGATTTCCTTTTTTTTAATTGCCTTTGAGCATCTTTTAATCAGAGCAAATAATTACTACATTAGGATCTTATTCAGGAAACACCCCTTTCAAATTACACATGGTTAGAGATTTGACTTTGTATTTACAAAGGTAAAAAAAGAAACTGTAAGAACCAATGAATGACAAGTCTGCTAGGTATTACCTTCTCAAGAAAAAAAACCAGGCAACAAACTTAACAACTTTTTATGGCTTTGTATAATAGCAAACCTTGTGCAGATCTTCAGAGTCCCCTAAATCATGTGGGTGTGTCACTTTCATCTGCATACATAGCTCTTCCTAGTCGGGTCTCTGTAGGGACTACCTTAACAGCCATCTCCTCTCTGCCAGGTTCTCAAGAAGCCCAGGAAGGCTCAAACTCACTGTTTGATGACGAAGATAATGAATTCCTAATCTTCCTGTCTGAGCCTGCTTCTCAAGTAGCTCAGGATGGCTCAAACTCATTGTTCGATGAGGAAGACAAAGAATTCCTAACCTTCCTGTCTTCACCTCTCAAGTCTTGGGGTTACAGGTATTAACTATCACACTAGGCTAAAACTTACTTCTTAAAAACAAGGCAGACCTTATTACTTGCTTTCTAAAAATGAATCTGAAGGACATTTTGGAGTCCTTTAGAAAACCAAGTTAAGAGGATAATGGTGATGGTTATAATGACCAAAAGTAATAACCCCATTACTTAGGAGACTGGGCCAGAGTTTTAGAGGTTAAGTCTGGGCTCATAGCAAGACTGTTTCAAAACACAAACAAAACAAAACCACTACCACCCCTTCTCCTCAGAAAGGGTAAGGAGCCAGGGGACTGGTCAAACACACACTAATTTACTGGTCAGAAGGGGCACTAGCAGTCAACTAGGATGCTTTCTAAATCTACAGGGGGAACGGGCTCAGAGTGATGGCTGCTGTAGGGGATCAGTACAGACACTCAAGAGCTGAACTCACCATCAAACATCCATGGTTTGGGAGCCTATCCTACTTCGGTTAAGGTATTAACTGCTTCCTCTTCCCCCCAAGATTGTGGGGACCCTGGGACTTTTAGAGATAAAGCAGGGCAACACCCTGGGAGGCAGAAATGGTGAGAATTACATCCATTCAAGTGAAAACGTCACTGATGCAAGCCAGTAAAGGGTCTGTTGGTTCTGCACAGCTCTAAGCCATCCTTCAGGTCTTTAAACACGAGTAAGAAAACAACTGCTGCTAATACAGCATGCAATCATTAACATATACCCAAGGAGCAGTGTTTCAGATTCTTAGATTTTCTGCCAAAGTCTGCTTCTTGGTAAATAATGGTTACTGTTGTTATACTTTAACTAGTCATACAAGTCTCGGCTTGCTCCTCAAAGGGAACACTCACAGTCTCTCAGGAATAAAAACTTGCTTTATTTGGCACACAACAGTGAGGAGGTCTTGCAACATTTGCCAGAGGCAGTCAAACAAATCAAGTAGTTCAGGCAAACAATCACAAAATTTGAGCACCAACCAAACCAGAGCTAATCTTTCAGTTCCTGCAGATTAGGGGCCCTATGTAACCCACCCCTTTCTGCTTGTTGACTTTTGAAACCCTTTATTACGTATTGGAAGAACAAGTACTTCTGTGGGATCTCTATGCCCTGACAGTTTAATTATCGATAGTTTTACTTTGGGCAAGTACCGACCATTCCTTTGTGAAGTAAGTTAGGCTCTTAAATTAAAAACAAACAAAACCTCTTTCCCACAGCTTGGCAGCATTTCCCCCTTGTAACAAGGTTCATTGGACACATCACGGCCCGGCTGCTGCTTTGTTTGAATCTTTCAACCATAATGGCGAGTGAGGTGTTAATTGGGAGACAGGCCAGAGTTCCTCCATAGCCCCGAGAAGTCTTCACGGTCCACCTCATTTCTTGCTGCGGCTCTCTGGGCTGGGAGTCGCCTTGTCCGAACACCTCACCCCCTCGGCCCACTCCCGGTCTCCTCGCCTTCCCCAGCGCCCCACGCAGGACGCGAGGCCACGGTTCCCCCATCCCGCAGCGCTCGCGACGCCCCGCGCGGCTCACCTGGGGATGCCCCGACACCACCGCCCCGAGCCGCCCCGCCCTCCCGCTCTGCTCGCAGCGATGGCGTCGCCGGAAGCCGGCCTGAGACTTCCTCGTTCCGCCCCGCCCCGCCCCGCCTGTGGGCGGGACCTGAGCGGAGCGGCTTCCGTCTTCCACCTTCCTGCCCGGCGGTGAGTGGGAATGGGAGTGGGAGTCCGTCGGGATTGCGGGTGGCCAGCTGTGGCCTCGGCGGGGCGTGTGGCGGGGCTCCCCCGGCTCCCCGAGATCCTGGCCGGCGGGTCCTGCCCGGCTCCGCTCGGCAGGGCGGCGCCCCGAACCTCTGAAGCAGAGGGAGGACGGCGGACGTGGCCCGGGGCAAGGGGAATCCTAAGGAGTGAAAGTTAGAAGGAAGCTGTAGTTACGGAGCCGCCAGGTGCAGCTTAGGGTCCCCCAGGCTTTTTGAGGTGGAAAAGTGAAGCCAGGATGTTTTGGTCCGAGATTGAGGTGCACGGCAGGTAGATGTACGGCCCTGGACGGTAACTACCTTGTTCTTCAGTCGCACCGTTCTGTTTACAAAGTTACCTGTTTTTTTCTGAAACTTATATTAGTTCGTAACCGGGCTGGAGAAAGATCGATTCTTCCTGGACCTTTCTGCAACCTATACAACTGGGTGAGGGTATTGTAACATGGGTCAGGATGGTTAATGTCTCAAACGTTTAATGTGTTGAAAGTAGAGGCATGATTTCTGGCACAAATACGAAGGCAGTTAACACCAGGGGCAGTTTCCTTGATGTGACCCGTTGTGGGTACCATAATTATTTCGGTTATGCTTTATTTTCCTATAAGTACACTAGTTGTACTACAGACCACAAGATCTTTAAAGAACAAAGCAGTGTCTGGCTTTGTAATGATGTGCCCAAACTTACAAATAGAGTAAGTTCAGCTCTGGACTGGGGATGTTGGTCAGCAGTGCCTCTCATGCTCTAGGATCTTTGGGTTGGATCCTCAGCAATAGAGACAAAGGTTCAAAAGCCCTATGGGTGTGGCACCAGCTTAACTTTTTATAAGGAGTGAAAGCCATAATCTTACTATTCAGATCAACCAATCGACTTAAAATATGTGGTTTCTACCAATTAAGACTTTATCTCGGGGCCTTTGCAAAGGCTATAGTATTATAGAAAGACATTTTTACTTGTCATTTGTGATATTAGAGAATTTAGAGATATTTTTTCCCCTGTCATAGTCTTAACAATAGTTATGACTTAGTTTTCTTTTTTTCCAGCCCATCCACTTTATAGAATTTAAACCTCTCCAAAGTGTATGGTCAAACTAAAGAAGAAAATAACCAACACTCTTCTGAATTGTGTTTGGCTCACTGATAATCCCAGGGAGAAATTAGAGATCAGTACTATAACATAAGGTAGGTGGTTTTTAAAAACCCTAGCTTGAGATTTTAGGTGACTGTGTACAGACATAATCATTCCCTCCCTAGGTATTGTAATTCAACCTGTACTTGAACACAGGTTGTTAGAAACAACAGAGTTGACCTCTGTGGCAAAACAGAGAATGCTACTCCAGTCCTCACCTTACCAACTCAAACAACTTACTGTGCATAGCACTTATCATGGATGCACATCTCATTGTGGTTTTGAAAGGCTATAACCTGAGCAACCTTTTGGCTGAACATATGGATGTAGATTTCATGGTTTCCTTACCTATGTTCCAGAAATAGCCATCTGCTTCCCTTTCTTGGAGAGAATTTCTTATGGACATGAAGATTGGTTTGTACTTTTGTTAATAGTACTTAGCAGTAGTAGTGGTATGTCGGCAAGTGACAGGATTCAGCTCTTCCCTGAACCGAACATGCGGAACTCAAGATCCTTGTATGTCTGCTCTTACATAGTTTGTCCTGAGTATAAGAGGCATGGAGAACGTCCAAAGGACACAGTCTAAGTGGGCTTTACCTTCCATAAATTGTTCTTTTCTTTCTATAAATTGACTATTTGTATTGCTCTATTTGAACTTTTTTTCCCTAAGCGGATAGTATTTATTAAAATACTAATTAACATTGAAAAAAAAAAGCTGAGTGATAATGGAATTCTGATTTAATTGGATGAATAATAACGTTCAGGATTTGATTAACCATGTAGTCTAATGTTTGCTTATTTTCTCCCCTCCCTCCATTCTCCAAGCCTCAGTTTCCTGCTTGCTACAAAGATGTTTGACGTAAAGGCTTGGGCTGAGTATGTTGTGGAGTGGGCTGCAAAGGACCCATATGGCTTCCTTACCACAGTTATCTTGGCGCTCACGCCGCTGTTCCTAGCTAGTGCTGTACTGTCCTGGAAGTTGGCCAAGATGATCGAAGCCAGAGAGAAGGAGCAAAAGAAGAAACAAAAACGTCAAGAAAACATTGCAAAAGCTAAACGACTAAAAAAAGATTAAAGGAGTGAACAGACTCTGCAACTAGAGAAAACTCATCTGGAAAATTCTGCAGCTTTGGAAGGACTCATCAAGATTCCAGTCCATTTCATGATAGTATTATTTAGTAAATTAAGTCTGACCGTATAGAAGACTCATGTTCTGACCTCAATACTGTAGTAACTTTTAGCCTTGGAAATAGAAATTTGTTGGTATCTACTGACAAGTATTTAAGTTAGCATTTATCATACAGGTGGAACATACCTAATGTGAAAATTTCAAAATTAAAACCCTGTAAAATCTAACACCCATGTCAGACTTGCTGCCAAGAGTGGAAAACCTCACACCTCACTTTGTGAAGGGTTACAGTCAAAATACAGGTGCACTAAAAACTGTCTTCAAGCCATGAGAAATGTAAGTGAACCTGTGTTTAGATTTGGATCCCGCCTTCAAGGTATTATGAAATACTCTAAAATCTAAAGAAAAAAAATTAAAACATTCCTGGTCCCAAGCTCAACCTGTAGTAAAAATCCTTAAACTTGATACTCATTTGTCATTTTGGACCGGAAAATACCCAAGTGAAAAATACCATAAAGAAAAAAATGGTTTTAGATTATGAATACTATTTAAGTGATAGTTTAGAATGGGGTTCAGTTCTGGACAGAGGATATTAGGAATGTAAAAGAATTATTTTCTGAGGTGAAAAGTTTACTTTGGCTTAAAAGAGATACAGTATATTAATCACAATTTTAAAATTACTGCTTATATTTTAGAATGGAAGCATTACTGATTTTCTCAAAGATTTTTCTTATGATATGGCTAGTTGCATTCTTCTGACTTTAGCCTTTAACACAACTGGTAATTATCAAGACACTCTGCTTTCTAAAACCTAATTTTATATAGGATTCTTATTATCTTGACCATGTAGAATACCACCTATTGGATAGAATAATTTTTGTACTTTGAACACTGCCATTTGCTTAAATGAGTTGCTAAGAGTAACATGATTTAAATACAGTGAAAATGTCATGTGCTGTTGATACCCTGGGTTCAGTTTTGTGAAACAATTAAATGTCACCAGGTTATTTGCTGATTATACAGATACTACTTTTGTTTTTATTCTCTTTATACGAATACATTAGTGATGTACTGTTCCTTTTTACTTACACAGGATCAAAGTGAAAATCAAAAATTCAAATTTATGAAATTTCATAATTTAAACCAACTAAGGTTTAAATTTGGAAAAATTTTCACGGGTATAATAGTGATTGCAGGGACTGCAATAAAATGGCAGAAGTACAAAGCTAGGGAATCTTTCAGTGGTAAAACACTGGACTGTAAAGCATGACTTCTCTAAATGCATGGTCGAGTAACTTCACTGCAGTATTAACTGCTTAATGTTTTCTGCACCTCTGATAATGAATGTTAAGTTACAGTAATTGTCAAATAGTCTTAATAAAAATGAAGCTAAATACTGAAATAAATTTGATACTTTTTTATAAAGAGGTCCTGAGTTTTTGTCTTTTTTGGGGGGAGGAATAATCATTTAAGTTATGTATGTCATGCAGATTAAGGTTTTAAAAGCTTGTTAATTTCAGTAATAGCTAACCATGCTAGAAATGGGATATTGTTTCTCAAAGGAAGCCAAGGGCTCCTGAGAATGCCGAAGAACCTCTACATTATTAGCTCCTGGTTGGTCCTACCTCAGCTTTAGGCACTAGAATAATTCTTTCAGCAGTCAGGTGATCTCAATGGTATTTTATCATTGAAACTAAAACTTGCTTATAATTAACAACTGGTCTCCATGGGTCTTAAGAGCACACAGTTTGGATGTCACCAATCTCACAGAAAGTTTCAGTATATTTTGCATATGGACACATTGTAATTTTGGAGTTCAAATATTGAAGCAAAAGATACAGTAGTACTCAGCCACTAAGGCTGAGGCCCCCTTGGTTTGGCTAATGAAAAGGTGTGTATTTACCTAAAAGTCTGCTTTCTTAACTTATTTCAGTGCCTTAGTGTGGCAATTTTGTATTAGATGCAAGCTGTTGTTTCTTCAGCTTTTCAAATATTGGTGGAAACTTCGTATACATGAGATCAGGAAACATTTAAAACATTGGGAAGGGGAGTATTTGTGTACTGGGTGTAAAGCAAGGAAGTTTGGAATTCTCCAGGTAAATTCATCTTTTCTCATTTTTGTTGGAAGAATCTTGTTATCAAGAATTCTTTTTAAAAGAAATGCCTTTTGGTAGCTTTTGAATTTCTGAAAATTAAATGCAGTTGTTAACCCATTGATGGTTAGAAACAAGCTGACCCATGGCTGTCCAAGTACTTTGCCAAAATGACAGAGGAAATTTGCCTCTACTTTAGAATGAATGCCTTTAATATTTACGTCTAGTTATAGGATCACTCTGGTTTATCACTTTTTATTTGGGATAAATATTTAAGGCCAGGTTCTGCATTTTTCAAACACAATAACAGATGGTCAGATATCAAAGTTTTGAAAATGCAAATGGAACTTGAACAAGTTTCTTTCCTTCATAATTTTTTGAAATCTCAATTGACTTCCACAGCCTCTTCATGCTTTTCTCCAAAGAATATAAACAGTTGAGAAAGTCTGTTTAAGTGAACTCAGATATGTTTTAATAATGTGGTTAATAAAATAGCACTAAAGGATCAATACAGTAGTAATTTGTTCAAGAAATAAATGAGAACTTTCTATGTTGATAAAAGAATAATGATTATTTCCTTATTTTAGTTTTTGAGATTATAATTACCTAATTTTCCACTCCATCCAAGCCCTCCCATGTCTCCCCCCATCCCTACCCCTGCCATCTTTCAAATTTATGGCTTCTTTTTCTTTGTTACATACATTATATGTGTGTATGTATTCCTAAATACCACATTCTTAGTAGTGACTTGTGTATATATACTTCAGATATAGGCATAGCTAGGCTATATGATGACACCTTGGAATCAAACATGTTTTGTGCTTTAGAAATTTACACAATGTTAAGCCCATCATTGCATAATTATTCTACATACACCTATAGCTGAGACAGAACAGGAAGGATTTAGCTTTTAAGCATATACTTAATGTATAAAGGTATACACATGTTCTTTTGTGAGTGAATATTTTCACTCTTGAGACTAAAATCTTAAAATAGGTATAAAGTCTGTCTTAAAAGAGACATAATAAACTTTGAAATGTTCAAATATAGCTAATTAAAAAATGAAATACAGCAAGCGAGCTATTATTCAATAGTTAATATTTAAATTCTATTTTGAATGTTTCACAGCTAGTGGCTTTAAAAAGTCGAAAGGCAGTGAGGCCTGGCATGCCAGCAGAGGCAGGTGGATCTCTGAATTTGAGGCCAGCATGGTGTACACAACGAGACCTTAAAAGGCATACAATAGTAGGCAAGATTACATCTTATCATGTAGGAGATTCAAATGACTGTTCCTGTGTCACCTAGCAGCAAACCTACTGCTTATTATATAAGCCCGAGGATCTTACATGTACTGGGTATTCACTGAGGCATAACCCTTGCCAGCAAGGTAACCCAAGGAGGGAGATGATGGGTAAATCAAGCATAGGATTCAAATCTAAATACATTTAGGCTACTATACTTACAACGTCATATTGTACATAATAAATAACTCAAGCTTTACGGAACAAAGAGTACATATTCAGGAAATATTCAAAGGGGTCAACTTTTAACTTTTATTTGTTAAAATAACCATATCCATATGAAATGACTTTACCATAGTACATTCATGGATTTTGTCTTTTGCCGTCTTCTGGCATCCAGGATCCTGGCTGGAAAGTTTGACCAGTGCTGGTGGGAGCCACTGAAGGTTCTTCCTTTCCGAAGTACGGAGCAGAGGCATGCCCTTTAATTTGGGTTACAGCAGGTGAAGGCAAGAGTTCTTCGCGGGTTTCTTTAGCGAGTTTATCCTTTTCATAAAAATCTTTGCTTTTAATTTTAATTTCTTCTCTGTATTTTTCATTCTTTAGTATTTCCTGCACATACATATATAATTGGGAAACATGATTACAATTTTACTTTAAATAATTCAAAGATTTTATGGAAATAAAGTCAATCAAGATGTTAGGACATAACTGCATTACACATGTAGATATGTATAGGATAAGTCTAGAAAGGTTTTTGATCATGTATCATCGCTGAACTGTTCCTTAGTTTATGTTACAAGAGAATGACTGAGGGAATCACAGAAAAATATTTGCTACTCGAAAAGTAAAAAAGTAAAACAAATGTTGCATAAGAATCTGAATCACTGTACCAAAAGTTTTCAGTGTCACAACTACTTTCTGCCTTAAAGCAGTGACTTCTTTTCCACTGCAGAGGAAGATGTGTATCCTAGAAGGCTGCTCCTGCCCACCACTCTTGTGTCATGGGAATTAAGGTGTGAATGCTAATTTGCCTTCTACAGTGCCAGATCTAAGCCCCACCTACTTTTCTTTCCCTTGAGTGGTCTAAAGAGAACAGGAGCAAAGAGTGCAGCATGTCCTAGACACTAGCTACAGCGAGTCATTTTACTACTGGAAAAGCTTCCTTAAAGCTGTTTAATTTGCAGCAAGTTCTACAGCTTTGCTCTTTCCAGGATCTATACTAAAAATTACAGCATACCTTTTAGTATTGTCTTTCATTGAATACAAGACTGTCCTACTTAAGGAGTATCATTACATGTACCATTCAGAAAAGGCAATCAAATCCATTCAGATTACAGGGTAAGGAGGCAGGAGAAGAGCATCCTTCACGTGATAAGGGTCAGGGTGACAGGAGGAAACTAGAGTACAAGGATAGAAGAGGAAGAACTCCAGGGATCAAGAGAGACAAGTGGAAAGCCAGAGGGCACAGAAAACCAGAAAGGAATGAAACACCCGCATTTCAAGATTGGCTCCCTGGAGGGGGAACTGTGAAGTAAACTGGGAGAGTGGAAACAGCCTCCCCAAATAATTAAAGAACAACAGCTACAGGGAAACCCAAGATTCTTACGAACATTACATCTAGCACAGGGGTTAAGTCTGAAAGAGACCCTCCTCCTCTGCAGCAAACTAGCTCAGAAGGAAATCTATCAGACAGGCGCTGTAACACCAGGAGAAGGGCTCTGTTATTAGGGACTAAGTTAGTCTGCAGTCAGAAGACACAGAACAACTATAGTTCCAGGTTCCTTGATTTACCCTGTTGGCTGGGTGAGCAAACAGCCAGAGTCATGGAGAAGAGCGAAGTGAGTTCACCCCAAGCAAGCCCCTAAGAAATTTAGACAGTGGGTAATGGAAACTACAGTAGATTTAATGGTTTGGTCTCTCGATCTGTAGGAAGAGGGGAAGCCAGTTGGGTATGATTTACTATGGAGACCAGGTTTAAGAACTGGGCTTGCTTGGTCCTGTAGCTCTCCCTTTCTGGCACAGGACTCAGTGGTTTATTGGCTTGTTCTCTGAGTCATTAGGGGACTTGTACATTTGCCGTGGGTGGGGCACAGACCAAGGACCTTTGGGAGCAAGTAAGCATTCAATGCAGTGGCACCACATGTGTGTGCCTTGGGTGAATGCCGTCCAACGACACTGTCCAACACCTGGTAGGGCTTAGCCTACATTTGAGAGGAGCCAAAAATTACAACAGGTCATGCTGTGATATACTACTTATGATGGTTAATTTCCTAAACTGGATTTAGAATTACCATGGAAACGCACCACTATTTCCAGAACATTTCCAGAAAGATTTAATGGAAGAGGACAGACCCTTCCTGAATAGGGTGGCACTATCGTCAGAGACTGAATAAAAGGACAAAGTGGGCAGAGCACAAAACATAAGCTTCATGTGCCTGCTGCCGTGCTTCCCCCCATGTGGACTGAATTCCCTTTAAGCCCAAACCAAGCCAAACAAACCCTTCCTCTCTTAAGTTGCCATAGTCACAATAGTAAGAAGAGTCAATATAGCCTCCCCGCCTCAACACTGCAGGACCTGGGGTGTAGCTTCTCCAATTCGGCTCTCCTGGGCAGGAGGAATGCTTTATATTTTTTATTCATTTTCATCCTTTTTGTTATTTTCATTTATTTTTATTCTTTGGATTTTTCTCTCTCTTTTCTTTTCTCGTTTTAAAATTTTATATTGTTGCTGCTTTCGTTTATCTTTCTTGATCAATTAGAATTTTTTAAATTAAAATAATTTTATTACCTTTATAAATTCTAACCTTTTAGTTGACTGTTCTTTTGTTCTTTTTAATAGTTTTTGGTGTCTTTTTTTCTCTCTATTGTCCTTCTGTGGTGTTACTACTCTATACATCACTTTCACCAGTCTGAGAGCTATTGATGGTGAAGCTCTCAGGAGATAGCTAGGCACTAAAAGGACTCCCACACAGAAGTGGAAGGGATATCCATCTAACACATGTGGAAAACCCAATGGAAAACCACAAGAAATATGAAGAATGTATCTATCTCAGGTTGTAGAGTGTTGGCCCAATATAGCATATACAAGGCCTTGTCTGAACCAAGGTGGTGGCACACAGGCCTGTAATTTCAGTCACCTTGAGGTGGAAGCAGAATTTGGCACTTAAGGTCCTCCCTGGTCCTAGTCAATGCTGGTCCAGTTGAACTAAATGAGACCCTAGCTCTTAAAAACACAAAAGCACATTCAATGATACTGAAGTAATGACATACTTCACAAAGAATTCAGAAGGTTGTTTCTAAAAGGATAAGAGGTTAATGGACAAAGAAAGATAATATAGGATATGAAGGAGTAAATCAATAGAGCAATAGAGATTCTAAAATAGAATCAAATAAACATTTTGGAAATAAAAAGCTTTGAAAAGCTCAGTTGAAAGTATCAACTAACAGATTATAGAGTAAAAGTCTATTAGTTGAAAAAGAATTGAAGACAGGATTGTTGGGGGTCAGATAACAATGCAGGTTAATAAAAGAAATTATGATCAGGACACACGAGATCTATGGCATAAGGTTAAGGAACTAAGCTTAGGAGTAATCAGTACTAACGGAGGAGTAGAGGTATAGCCCTAAGGCACAGAAAACCCATTTGGGGGAATAATGCCAGGGATCCTCCAGATCTTGTGAGTGATATGAATATCCAAATGCACACGACCAAAAAGAACCCTTCTACATTCTATTACAATTAAACTGAAAAGTACAGAACAAAGAATGAACATTGCAGTGAGAAGTGTCAACTCATAAAATCAAACCCACGAGAGAAAGAACAGCTTTCCCAGTAGAAACTGAAGGCCAGTAGGGCATAGAAGGATGGATTCCAAGCCCTGAAGACAACCTAGACCGCTGCTGCAAGCAATGCATCTTTCAAAATCAATGGGAAAATAGAGATAAGCACAAATTTAAAAAAATTATGATCACAAAACCAGCATTACGCAAGATATGGAAAGGAATCAATCCCACAGACCGAAAAGGAAGCAAGATAAGCACAGTTCTAAGAAAAAGTGTAAGAAGCACACTCTAAAGATTAATTTTGTAAACAAACCTCTAAGATAAGCAAGTGAGAAAGAAGTGGACATATATTATTTAGAACAGCCAGATGAAAAATGGCATGACAGAAACTAGCCAATAATACCCTTAGACAATAACCCTGAAGATAAAGGTCTCAACTCCTCAATTAAAGGACATGAAGTGGCTGACTGGATAAAACCAAACCAAACCAAAACAAAACAGAAAAACTAAACAAACAAACAAAGGCATGGCAATCTGTTTCCTGTGGGAAATTTACTTCATTAGTAAAACAAAACAAAAACTGAAAGGATGGAAAATGGTATTTTCTCCAAGCAAATAGAATCTGAAAAGAAGGGATAGCTATATTCATACCTGACAGAATATACTTCATGCCAATATTGGTCAGAAGAGCCAAATGAAGTCACTACATTAGACATTGTATCAAGAAGATATGATGCCTGTACATATATATGCACCAAACATTAGTCCACAGAACAGGAAGGGAGAAAAAGCCCCCGATACAGTGATAGTTGGTGACTACAGTATTTCACCACTAGAACACCCAAACAAAAACAACAGCAGAAAAACCCCATAATTAAATTATACTATAGACCAAATGTACCTTTCTACATCTACAAACTATCCATCATTAGAACACACTTCTTTCTTTTGTTTTTAGAAAAGAAAGTCTTAAAAATACAAAAGACTAGCTGGGTGGTGGTGGTGGTGGTGCCTTTAATCCCAGTGCTCGGGAGGCAGAGGCAGGAAGATCTTTGTGAGTCTGAGGCCAGCCTGGTCTACAGAGCTAGTTCCAGGACAGCTAGGGCTACACAGAGAAACCCTGTCTCAAAAAACAAAAACAAACAACAAACACCCTAATAAAAAACAAAACAAAACCAAGATAAAAACAAAACCCAAAGTATGAAATTTCTGCATCTTATGAGATCATAACAGAATAAAACCAAAAATCAATAGCAAAAGAAAGTACAAGTAATAGTTGTAGGAGCTTAAAACACTTCTGAGTGTCCATGAAGATGGCTCAGAGGGTAAAGATGCCTGCCACCATGCCTGATGATGTAAGTTTGACCCTGGCCCATATGGTGGAAGCAGAAAACATCTCCTCCTATAAGTGGTCCTCTGGTCTCGACACATGAGCACAAACCCATACTTATCACTCTTCAAATAAATACATGTAATAATAATAATAATAATAAAAATAAAAAACACCTTTGAACAAAGAGTGGGTTGCGGAAGAAATCAGAAGCAAAACCAACCAAACAAAAACTCTGTCAAATAATATGAGAACACAACACACCATAATCTGGAGGATATAAATGAAAGGAGTTCTAAGATGGATGGTTATACTATCGAAAGCTTATATCACAAAATAAAACAACAAAACAGATGTCAAATAAATAACCCAATGATATATCTCAAAGTCTCTGAAAAATAAGGACAAATTAACCCTCAAATTAGAGAAAGGCAGGAGATAACCATCAGAGTGGAAAAGACTAAAAGAAAAATTGAGAAGCCCTGAGGTAAAGTGA